ATAACATGTCACATCCGTGACTGGGAAGGTGATGAAATGCTTTCCAATTGATCAATAGGCAGTACTTTGCTTGTCACTTTAGTTTACCTTTCTTAATATTAGGCGACCCCAGGATATGGTGCTTTTTAGTGTCTGGAGTTACACACAACAGTCTTCGCATGCATCAACACATGCAAATTGTTCTTAAAGAGTCCCACATACGTTTCACTGATAAGTATGACAAGGCATCTTAATTCAGTTCAAACCTTATTTTGGCTAAAATTAAATATGCAGCACAGGTTTTACAAAGTGTGATAGACACGTTTCTCTATGTTATCTCCAAATTCAATTTCTTATTATGCACAGGCTCATTTTTAACAAGGTGTTATCACAATGAGAAAATGAATGGATTTTGCTCACCTGGTAGTGTGACACACGCAAAAAAACACACGATGTACTGATTTGTTTTACTCGTATTTTCAATATCATTTGAAAGTGCATAACAAAAACATATCTTACAAAAATAAAATAAACCTTATTTCTGTTATAACATACACTGAATCCTACAGGATTTTAAGCCTATTTTAGCCACTGTCAATCATAAAACAGACCAAACTGATCAAAGCAACCTACCAACAGTTTGTATAACATAACCAGAACTATTGGTAGTAAGTTGCGTTGCTCCAATTGACTGTTTTTGTGTTTAAAAAAACAGTTTAAACTGCCGGGAAATTGTATGTAGTATAACGGTACACCTTTTTAAATGAGACTTGGAAGATTAAAATTAGAACAACTGTGTCCCTATCTGATAGGGTAAACAAATTGGTAAGTTGACCACACACATTACAATCTACATTACTTTTGATAATATAATGCAGCAGTCTCCCGAAAAAGTTTTATTTCAGTTTACACCTCAATTTCATTATTTTATTGAAATTTTGATTACATACATTATTGTTTCCCAAACCTGTTCTCAAGACCCACCAGCAGTTTATGTAGCTATGTAATTTTGATAAGACACTCATTACCCTATCTTCAGATAGGTGAAGTTACCTGCACAACATGCACTGTTGGAGGACATGTATGGGAAACAATGAACTATAATATCCAAGTGCACAGCGATCAGAAAGTCATGATATCTGAATAGACAAGCCACTCTAAGCATTTTGTGATACAAGAGAGATGAGAGGAGCTACAAGACTGAAAAAAAACCTTTTAGGAGATGTGTAAAACAAATAGGGTTTTTGACCTACTGTAAAATCTTTTTCTCGGACTACATTAGGGGACACCGAATGAAGTAATTAGGTGCATTGGCATTAAGCAGCTGCCTTCAGTAGATTGAATACTGACTAAACAAAGCTGTAAGACAGTCTAGTATTACCATGGATCATAAGAACATGGGAGAGACCTGGGTCTCTTAATGTACTCAAAGTAAAGGATTTTAAAGTAGGTCAAAAATCCTATTTTATTAATTGTACAATAGGGGACACAGGATGAAGTAATTCAGGTGCACCGGGCCCTCCACATCTAAAAGCACTCTAACTGAGAAGTGGGCACCAAGCAAAAAAAAAAGGGGGGGAAAAAGCCAACAGGCCCTTAAAAAGCAAAAGGCTAAAACAGGGAGCATAATAAAGCCTACTAAGCCACCCTAAGAACGTTACGACTGAACCTGGAATAAGAGCAGACCTGAAAGCCACCTGGTAAAACTTAATTAACGTGTGAACTGAAGAGCAGGTGGCATCCCATGGAGCACTAACTGATCCAGTGGAGTGTGCTTTGCCAGGGAAAGGCAGAACTTGCCCTTAAAGGAGAACTATGAGGTGAGTGATTTCCACTCATCCACATAGTTGGAGCCGACCTGTGACAAAGCAGCTGTCACAGGTCGGCTCTATTGATCGGGGCGTGAGCAGAAACATCCACCGATCCGCTCACTTCCCGACCGCCTTCCTGCAGTGAGGGTTGACTGTCAGTCACCGCTCCACACAGGCATTCCCCCCTCCCCTCTCCAATACTCGAGCGCTGAGTGGAGGAACGAATGGGGGAGGGCACAGCTGGCTCTGCCTCTAGATAGGCAGGGCCCACTGTCACACATGCAGCTGGGTGGATCTCGACAGTATTTTCAGGAATCCGTCCCGGCTTTGGCACTCTCAGCATATCGTGGGCAATAGACCACAATATATTGAGCTTTGGGTCAAGGGAGGAAGTTAGTATATGTCCTCCAGTGACCCTAAAGAGAACTATCGGGAAAAACACTTACCCCATAGTTTTCTTTTAAGTCTATATGCTTGAGATGTCAAATCCAGCTGGAGAAAGCAGAATGAGAAGCAGACTCTCCCCTACAGGAGCCGTTAGAAATGGCAAACAGAGTCAGACAGACTCCTTGAAGTTGTAGTGAAGAGATAGACTCAAACAGCGCATATCACATCCAGACATACAAGGGAAATCTCATTAGAATGTTGTAGTGCAGGACACAGAGATCAGTGACCAATGTTTTGATTACGGTGAAAAGAACAATCCATCTTGGGAAGAAGGCCTTGGGTCGCAAGACAACCTTGTCTCTGTGTAGTATGAGAAAAGGTTGTTTACAGGTTAAGGCCACCAACTCAGGAACTCACCTAGCAGAGGTGATAGCAACAAGCCAGGTAACCTAAGTGTAAAGGTGGCCATACACTGTACAACCCTCGCAAGACTTTTGTCTTGCGATGGTTGTAAAGTAATTTAAAAAACCTACGATCTGCACATCTTGGACAGGCAGATCGTACTTGCGATCATCGCAAGCCCACCCCGCTGAGGGGCGGGCTTCCGATGACTGCAATGCTGAACGGGCAGTGGGCATGTGCGCACACCGACCCGTCCGGCAGTTGTCGAACAAGCACGCCACTAAGCCGCCGAGAATCGTACGATTCTTAGCAGGTTTTCCAGCCTGCTTGTTCGACGGAAGACGTGCGACCGTACAGTAGAAACGGTCGCACGCCTTCCATACACTTAGCGATTATCGTACGATCGCGGGATTTCCCGCGATTCTCGTACGATAAACGTACAGTGTATGGGCACCTTAAGTGTAGATAGACGGATATCCCTGATGGGTTCAAAGGGAGGTTTCTGAAGTACCGACAGAAGCAATTCCACAGTGTCACTGGGGAACATACAGGGGGAATAATGTGGCTGACACTCTGTACAAACGTTTGCACTAGGTAGAAAGAGGCAAACAGTCTTTGAAAAGAATCGCTAGGGCTGATATTTGACCCTTGATTGTACGCAAGGCCAAATTTTGATCCAGACCAGACTGATCTTTCTTGTTCCATGCCACCAGAATGTTGAGCCGGTAGTCGAATAGAGCATATGGAACTGCTTTGAAAGAGGCCACCATTAAACCCTGGTCCCTCATGCCAAATGCGAGGGCTGGTTTGCTCCTGAACTGTAGCGCCCGGACATGGCAATAGAGAGTTTGGAGATTTTCTGGTAAGATGGGGACATGTAAGTAGGCATCCTTGATGTCCAGAGAGGTCAGAAAGCCCCACAAATGCAGGGAATCAATGGCTTGACTATGAGCTTCAGCTGTTGGTCTTCAGAGAAATCCAAGAGGCTAGATCCAGAATCCCAAGGCATATTCTTAGACCAAACACCAACGTTGTCAACTATGGAGATGGCCCACTTTTTCAAGAACCCCTCAATAGGAGATTGCTGGGCAAAGCGCTTGGGAAGAGTAAAGATTTATTCTGGATTAGGCACTACAAAAACAGGTTGCAATAGTGAATGTACATGAAAAGTTTGAAGAGGCCTTTAAAGAGGCCTCATAAAATTTTAGAGTTTAAAGAGGACCTTTAACAGACCCCAGACCGGTATCCCTGGCCAATGCAGGTTGTTCCAGGTCTAGGCGCGTTCGCACTATACCAAAATGGTATTCTTATGCTTTGGAGTTATGTCAGCAGTCCGAGACCCCTCATGTGAAAATCATCAAACAAGAACAGGGTAAATTCCTTTTAATCCTCATCTGACTGTGCAGAAGTAGCTGCAGTTACAGGGAAATCAGAGATGAACACTGGAAGAGAGGGAAGGGTGCATGCTTGCGGCCCCTGCCTTCTTGATAAGCTATAGTTGCTGACATTTTATCCATGAACTCAGATGTAGTAGTAGAGAATTCCTCCCTTGATAATATAGAGAAGGGAATAATTTTTGAAGGAGTTAAGGAGGACTCTTAGTGATGCGGCAGGGGACAAGGTATCTGTGTTAGTTCCTTTTGGAGATACACTGAAGCACCTTCTGAACTGTTAGTGGATTTTAGGCTGGTAAGGCCTGCAGGATCACTGCCCTTGCACCTCTAATCCACCATTAGAGCAGGAAGGTTTAAAATCTTGCCAGGCTGAGAAGGTCTGTGCATGCTCCACAAAATGGTGTGAGCATTTGCAGGAACACAACCAAAAGACCATGTAGACTCAGTAAGGACACACAGGTAGTAATGGAAACTGGGCACTAAGCTGAAAAAAAAATGGCACTGCACCTCTTCCCACCACTGGCCCACATCCAGCATCGCAGATAGTGCTCTGGATGCAACTCTTTAGGGGACCTCCTGGAGCAATAAAGCACACGCTAGGCTTACATAAATAAAGGGCAATGACTTGTCTAACCAAGCTGCGGTCCTAAGATGCCCTGCGGTCCCCTCCAAGCATGGCACTCTAGAGACAGTTAGGCAGGAACCAGGAGACATGCCACATCCAGATAGTCTCTTGCCCTCCTGGTGTCTAGGAGAGGGCCTCAGCAGAGGGTGCTGCTCTCAGGAGGGTGCTGCTCTCACCAATGCTCTCAGGATAAATTACAGGCCGGCCTTGCTTCTTCCTCACAGTGGAGTCCAAGTACAGCCTGACAGTTTTCAATCTCCTGTAGGCAGCTGCATAACCCAAATGTATCTGAATAACTTCATCATGTGTTCCTTAATGTACGATCAAGAAACATTGTTATGTAACTGCATACAACATGTGCTGTACTGCTAATATAAAACTGAAAAAAGTTTAGTTCTTGTGCAGCTAAATGCTTTCTCTTGGGAGATATTACATTGGCCTAGCAGATCTTTTTTTCTTCTTCACCAGCATAACATATATGATTTGAAGAATATAGTCTTTTCAAGAGTACAAATCTCACTCATGCTCTGCTAAAATTTGTTATATAGTTTTCTATGATACATTGTAAACAGGAACACCACCATCACAGCTTCTGTTAGATAGATTTCTCATTTTTCTTAAACATCTTTTAATGCTTTTTCCATGTTGAATCAACCAGCAGATCAAACCAATAACTTTCCCTTTTAATAAAAAAAAGTTGAACCTTGGGCACACAGTTGAAAACAAGTAGAAAAGAATGCAGCACACTTGTTAGTATAAACCAGGAACAGGAGGCATGTGCCGTCACTGACTCTCCAATCATTAAGGTGTGCTGAGTTACAAGGCAGCACGTAGTCTCAAGCAGATCTCCTTGTTCCAATCAGGCTCAAGTGGTTGCAGAGCAAACGATTGAATGGGACACTTGCAGCTCACAAGAGCTCAATTAGGCTTTGTCAACCAAAACTCATGCTTTGACATGACTTAGGAAAATCCACTTCAAATGTGATGGTCTCTTCCACTTAAGTTCCACGTGTCCTTCAGTCAGTGGGCTGCGGAACAATACTTATGTGGAGGAAGTTGTCCGGATAGCTGAAATATTCACTGAGCCACTGCAAGGGAGTCTCAAGCATAGGCTCTATGCCATGGATCATCACCTGATAATTCTTCTCTCCATCTACAATAAAAAGTAAAAAAAAATTGTGAAACCGAGATAAAAAATATCTATAAAGATTAATAGGCTAATATATTAAAGTGCCCTATTCTTTATCCATTTGAGACCTAAGTACAGCTGGCAGACAGTAAGTATCCCATGGATAATGGGCATCCAGTCTACTATCCACAGGTGCTCACTCTCTGCACTTTGTTTCATTTACAGGACTAAGCTTATAAGGTATCTTTCTATACTGCTTCTAAAAAAAGGCCAAACATATCATGTCATTAAAAATGGTAAATACAGAAAGATTCAAAAAATGGTAAATACAGAAAGAGTCAAACATTTTAAGAGGCCATGTAAATCATAATCTTAAGACATTATAGAAATATAGTGTTCTTCAATAAAGACAGTTTCTCATTGAATCTCACAATGATACCTTTCCAGTCTTTTCCACTAAGCCTACTACAAAATTTAGAAAGGATATGTCCACTTATAGTCCTCTCCCCCAGTTTTTCAGCATAGGTTATACTGTATCATAGTACACTGCATATACCTACAAAGCAGAGGTGGCTTTCAGCTATAAAACACAGACAATTTTCAATGCTTTTTTTAATGACAAATCTCTGTACTGCCTTTGGATTACACAAACAGTATATGAAAAAGCTACTTTAAAGAACACCATCTATCACTATATGTAGTCAAAATGGCCACAAAACATAGCCCCTTCATAGTTCTGGAAAAAGTACAATCCTTTCAGTAAAATGCCTCTAATTTAAAAGGAGAAAAAACAGCTCTCATGGATAAAAATGAGCTTCCTCTATTATACACTAAGGATTGATTGGCCAACAAGGATTTATTCACGTTTGCACGTTTTCTTTTCGGTCATATTTGTTAAAAATAAAAACTATGTAAGCTGTGCCCTAAATACACTGCAATTCAGGGTAGTTGGCACAGATACATTTTTTTTTTTCATTCAGGCACTGGACTGCATATCAACGGCTCTGGACAGGTAAAAGTGATATTTTGTTGTGTATGGTGATTTCATCAGATGCACTTTCTTTTCTAATAAGCAAGCAACCCAAACTATCAAGATTTCTGCTTTCATCTGCCTGTACAAAACAACTATTGATTTCTGAGTGGTTGCGGTTTAGGTGACATTGCTGCAGTGATTTTACTGCAGAATGACCATTGTAGTCACCTTGCAAAAAGAAGTTAATCAACAGATCGACTGGCAGAATAAAAACCTAGTAACAATTTGTTACACAAGTGACTCAGATAAACAACTTATGCGTTCTCACTATTGAATGCATCATTTATTTCATTTTTTTCCTTTGACCATAGTTCAACTCAAATAGAAAAATGCTCCATAAGTAATATAACTGAAAGAAAATTAAGCATTACAAACGGAAATAAAATGTGATACATGAATCTGTTAAAACCAATATAGCAATAAAGCCAAATCATTGTGGTTGTATTGATCAAGCACTTGTAAAATTAGCTGTTAAAGCTGATTTTATAAGTAAAATGACGAGTAGCTTTACTGACCATGGGAAAGAATATTTTTAGCATGTTCGTTTGCAAGTCATCTATGTTAATGTACTCAGAGAATATGTATTCATTGTCAATTATTCATCCCTGGCTCTCCAGAAATCCAGCACAGGAGGACAGGAGACATCCTAAGCCGTTTGGTTAAAAGGGCTTCAAATTGAAATTGAGTCACTCTGTCTGCCCAAACTGCATGGAATGCTTCTCTGAAGGAGACATCTCACACATAGTATACACTAAATTCATAAATCACGTTCATTGTTGGAGAAAAAGAACTTTTGCTGTAGCTTTGCTGCAATTAAACATTCATACTGAAAACCTTAATGGACAGATACTAGCGTTCGGCTCCCCAAAAATGCATAATGCACATTCCATACTGCAGACAGATTGTGTACCACAACTACAAACCCGTCTGAGTGACTTAAAATGCATTATCTTTATAAATCTGATGTGGTTTGTAACCAGCAGTGCTAGACTTGATCCACTTTACTTTTACCTCTCTGTTGGGACAAAAGCAAATTGCCCACAGGAAACTGAACAATGGTTTTATACATCACAAAGTATTTTATTGTTCTAACAAATAACAGTATTTCTAATTCGTCAGCTATCTAATTTGACATACACTAAGCTGCATTTATCTATAATAAATG